AAATTTATATGTATTAAATATTATTGTGTTATTTATAAAAAAAACTTGAATGTGTTAAAATCTAATTATTTTTAAGATTATTTATAATCAATTTTATTATAAAAAATTAATATTATATATATATATATATATAGATATATATAGATATATAGATATATAATAGCAAACTCAATTATTATGTAAGTAATTGCTCTTATGGAGGTTTTAAATAAAGGTAACTTTATTATTTTAGAACTGCTTTATATTATGGCCTTCTAATAAAACCAACCTTAAATAATTCCATTTAAAATTGAGCAAAAGGTCAAAATAGATGTCATTAAAAATATAATAAATATGACTTTGGCTTATTTGCTTAATTTAGAATTAGATGTCTATATTTATTTGGCCCTAATTCTTATAAAATAAACAACTCTTTGGTATCAAAACTATCATAAAATATTGCAATGTTGGCTCTTTAAATCAAAATCCTTGTTGATAATTTGCCTCTAGTAAAGAGACCAAATAATCATTTTTTCTCTCTACCAATAATATTATTAAAATCTTTTATTTATTTACAATCATCTATAGTATAAAGTGGTCCTTATCTTTGTCAAATAGTAGCAAGAAGGAGCATATACTTGAAGTATGGTATACATCTTATTTTAAAAAATTAAACACAATGACTAGTAGAATTGAAATCTTAGTACTTACTTGATACTTCTAGTGCTCACACCAGTTGTCAACATAGTCTTCAAAAGACAGAGTTTAAGTAGATGACTTTTTTTAGGGCCTCTTTTCACGCTCAATAGATGGACAATATTCTTCTTGGATTTTCTTTGTATTTAGTGATCCCTCAAAGGTAAAATCCACCTATTTTAAAGATTTATACATTAATCTACAAGAGACCAAAGCACTTTATGACATTTAATAAGAGGTCATAGAAAGACCTTTTTAGGAAATAAACAAGTGACCTTTTATTGGAGGTTATAAAATGACCTCATAACTTCCTATTGCAAGTCAAATGTCCACCAATACATCAACAAACTATTCCACCTACTTTTTCCACTCTCCAAATTGATTAAGGATGAGCTATTGGTTCCACTACTAAAACTAATGATGTATTAGAAACTTGAGAGAGGGTTTGATTTTCTAGCTTCTAATGTCAAAATTCCTTAAACCATATTACATCCTTGAATCAATCCATAGACATTATCAGAAGATGCCCTTGCATAAACCCAAAACCAATCACTCTTCTTATAGAAAGATCCTAAGTTCATTCCAAATCCACTAATGATTGGAAAACTTTATAAGGATGAAGTTGGTGGTTTAGTGTGATGGAGATGATTGTGTAATGTGTTTTTATGGATGGTTTTGGCCAAGTCTATGTGTTGGTTCTAGAACTCAAAGTATAAAGTTTTTTTAAAATTTTATATCAATTAAACCACTACAACTTTTATAATTTTTTCTTTCGGGTCACATCAGAACCTTATTTTTCCACCCAAAAAAAATCCAAAAAATCCAAAAAATAAACCCCCAAGATAGCTGGAAAACCTTAAGTTATTGGTTTAAGTTATTTGGATCAAGCTTGGAAGGAGGCCCTTATACCTTTGCATCCATTTCCTTCCACGTTCCTCCCACTTGTAATCCCCCCCCTCCCCCCACCATTATTGATAGTGGCCGCAGGATGAACCCCCAAGTCAAACACCACGGCCAACAACTTTTAACGCCCTGTACTAAATCAAAACAATAATAGATAACAACGACCAGCGACTTGCACTTTTAAACGGGGCGTCCTTGAGCGAAATCCTGTTGTCGATGCACGCACTAAACTTCTTCCTATTATCAGGCATAACAAACCACAAACTCAACTCGAAGCACGTTTTCCTACTCGGGCATGAGAGTTTCTAGAAAAGCTGCGATTGGGGACTGCGGATTGGATTGCCGCATTCTTGACCTTTGTTGACTTGACGAAGTGCTGTTATCTGCACAGAGGTCGTGAGAGAAAATCAGCCCTTCTGGCGAAGACTCCGAAGCATACGAACTCCAACGTCAACCCCGATTCCAGGTGACGTTACGCCATCGAGACTGGAATAAATAGAAAGAAAATCTTCCAATTGCAGATCCAGACACAAATTTCTGGGGGCGACTATCGTAGAATTCTCTGGTGTAGAATACTCACGATGTGAGACTAAGATTCTCTTCTTAATGCTTTGTTTCGACTGTTCACAATTAAAATTTATATTTTGGTCGAAGGATACAATAAACTAAAATATGCACAAATAACTTTAAAACCAGAAACTCGTAGAGTGTAGCAAGATTTCTTATTCTATTAAATTCATAATATTCTTTAAAAATATATAAATTTCTTCTCCACACATACGACAAGCTTTGTTTGAAGTTTTATTCTAATATTTTGATGGTAAGTCTTATTCGAAGTTATTTATTAAGTATCTTCTTCTGTAGGTTTATTCTAAAAATTTCTAAATGCTTAGGTACTGGTCTTTTAAATAAAAGTATTTTTAATTGTTCTGAAGTATTTTCTAATTGTAAAACAATAGTCCTAAGTTGCTCAAAACATAATTCTTAAATAATTTAAAACTATTTGTATATTTTTTATTTTAAATTTTTATTTTTATTTTCAAACACACACACACACACACACATATATATATATATATATATATGTATGTGTGTGTGTGTGTGTAATTTAAGTATGTTATTTTCAATAATTTTGATATTAATCATTATATTATATATTTAAAAAAATAAAAAGGTAAAAAATAAATTAAGAGTAAAAATATAATTTAAAATAGTAAATTTTTTGAAAAACTTTAATACAACTAATCATCTCATTTAAAAAAACTTACTAAGTTTCAAACTACCTCAAGTATCCTCAAAATTTTGTCTTGGATAAAATTAATAATATAAAACAAAATAAATCTATTTCTATAAGAAAAAAAACTAAATTCATCTAATGATATCATGAGTTTGTTTTTAAAATCATCTTATAAGACCCACTATGCAATGAGGAGAATGTTAAATAGACCCATGCTTTTACTAAATTGATCCACATAGGATGAAGAATATGGTAATTATAATGAATAGGATTGGTTTTCATTGGTTGTAGAGCTAATAGTGGAGAAATGAATCCAGAGATCATTTTTATTTTTATGATGGTTAGAATGGATGGAATGATTTAGTCAAAGTTTGGGTCTATTTAACATTCTCCTATAATACATGTAAAAATAAATTCAAGACAAAGTATAATTATTTTTATTTTTTAAAATCTAAAACAAAAACCATCTAATTATTGTTGATATTTATATGTGTGTGTGTGTGGATATATATATATATATATATATATATATATATATTTTCAAGAATATATGTTTATTTTTGAACTTTATAACTTATTAATGTCTAAAAAATTTTTAAATCATATTTAATATTTTTATAAAAGCTTGCTTATTGAATTTTTATTTTAGAATTTAAGTTATTGAAATCTTGTAATTTTTTTTTTAATCTAAAAATATTATGGAGTTATTTTTATGGCACTTTTAAAAGTAGTTGTATATGTATGTATATTTCTAACAATCTATCTATTACATATTATTTTCTACATAAACATATAATATGTCTCTTACAAGTTTTTATATATTGTAAGAATTATGTATAATTCTTTTAGAATATTGCATCCAAATACATGTCTTATAAAAAAAAACAATATGTACAATAGAATCATTAAATGGTGCCATGAATAATTAATTATTCATTTGAATTTAAATGGTTTTATTTTCATTTTACACACTACTTGCAAAAAACCATGCCATTGGGTACATAAAAGTTGTAACATTTTGATTTTCCAATTCAAAAATCAATAGCTCAACATAAATTTTAATTAAAAATAAAAATAAAAATAATAATAGTATTTCAAATAAAATAGAACTATTTATATTTTTCTAGTATTATCAGCAAAGGCAATTCTTATATACTTCAACAACTAAAATAGTTAGTTTTCAAAAAATTTAAGACAAATTAGATTTATTCTGGTATTTTTGGCTAAATTTTACTTAGGATAAAGAACATTGATTGAATTTAGAAAAAAGCATTGTGAAAGTCAACATACAAATTATAAGAAGGCAAAATGCAATTGTAAAAAGATAACTTACAATCACAAAAGGACAACATGCAATTTCAAGGATTTTGGCTAATGAAAAGGCTTCTTTATCTCTTTGTCTTAATGTCTTCATGTTATAGTGTAGCTTCTTTATTATGTAGATAGAATTCATTTGTAAAACAATTATTTTTATATGATATTTTAAAAAATATACATCTAAAAATTTAATATAAAACTAATTTTGATTAAAATCACACATGAAAAAAATAAAAAATAAAAAATAAAAAAAATCAAAGAATTTTTTAAATTACAAACAATGGATAAATAAAATAATGTATTTAATCTATTACCTTTTCAAGTATTACATTACTATTTATACACATACAATAAAAACAAACCATCAAACAAGCACCATAGGTAAAATTCAAACCCACAAACATGCTAGTGAAATCATTCTCTTTTAATTGAATAAAAATACAAATGATAATAAAAAGTTCTGCTCAAAAAAATGAATAGAAAGCAACAAACAACGGATAAGTAAACAAGACATTTAGAAAAGCAAAGCATGACTATTTAGAATAATTGAATGAACTTTATACAAGAAGGGTGAGAATTAATTTTGAAAATAGACAATTTCATTAATTGAACAATTTCTGTGAAGGTTTTTATGCATTGGCTTAGTCATCCATGACTTGGATGGAACAGCCTGCGAACAGGCATCGCATTGACGCCATTTTTACTGGGCACTAGAATAATTCGCTCCCTGTGAGCGAATTAATCTAACCTGCTCTGATGATATTCCAGCACGTTTTTGTTGCAGCCACGAGCCATCCCTCATGTGGCCAACTTTAATATTCTGTCTGTTCCGTAGCCCGAGGAAATGATTACCTCTCGTATTTATACTGTCTCTATTCTGAAACCTGATGCGCTTGGAACCCAGAAAAGAGTCACTCAGCGAGTAGCTTCGTGTGACCAGGTCTGGAAGTGGGTCTCAATTCAGTGTTTGTTGAAAGTGGGTGCATAGTAGCCGTGAGGTCGAGAGGGAGCTGGTGTGTGTGAGTTGCAGAGATGGCAGCGAGAGGCGCGTCCCCAGGGCATGTGCAGGAGCTGTTTGTGTACGAGATCAATGAGCGCGACCGTGGTAGTCCTGTGTTCTTGCCCTTCGGAGGAAAGAAACAGCCGGGGACTGATGCGCATGTCAACAGCCTCGGGGACCTTGTGCCGTTCTCTAACAAGGTTCGCTTGCATCTTTTCTGTTTTAGCTTTTGATCCAGCTTCCTATGACACAATCATGTTTCTTCTAAGCTCTCCACGGAGTTTGCTCTTCAGTTTTGAAGCTCCTCGCCTGTCAGACCTGCATCTGTCAATGTCTGCCTGGCTTTTATACCACTTAATCAGGGAAATGCTAGCAAAAGTTGGGAGATTGAGCGGGTTTTTGACGTGCTTCGTGTTGTGGCAGATATATGACGGGTCATTGAAGACTAGGCTGGGAATCACGGCGGGTCTCTGCACGCTGATCTCTCACAGCGACCAGAAGAACGGTGATCGCTACGAAGCCTTGTACTCTTTCTACTTCGGCGACTACGGCCACATCTCCGTTCAGGGGCCATACATCACATACGAGGACTCGTACCTCGCGATCACGGGAGGCTCGGGGATCTTCGCGGGCTGCTACGGTCAGGCGAAGCTGCACCAGATCATCTTCCCCTTCAAGCTCTTCTACACGTTCTACCTGCAAGGAATTAAAAAGCTCCCAGAAGCGTTGTGCGCCCCGTGCGTGCCGCCCTCGCCGTCCGTGGCTCCAGCTGATGAGGCTAAGCAGTGTCTTCCCAACCACGTCGCACCCAATTTCACAAAATAGACACGATTTCTCCCCATCGAACCCGCCATCGGGTGCGTCGACTCCTCGATGTAAGCCAACGCTGCGCAGGACCCATAACGGCTGGCGCTGCAGCACCGGCTCTTCTAGCCAGCGCGCTAGTCGAGCAGCAGCGACTCAAACCAGTCGATCAATGTGGATTCGAATACATAAAACTGTCAATATAATACAATATCTCTTCTTCTCAAGCTATTCCACTGCTTGTGCTCACATGTTATATTGGTGGAAGAATTCCAAGCCATGGTGCACCAATGGGTGTTAAGAAAGTGCATTTTTTATCGCTTAAGTTCTAGAAAGAAGCGCACGAGGTCAAGACTGTGGTGATAATGTGTTGGTTCGGTGATTTCGAGGTTGATATGAATTGTTGGGAAAGATTTTTGGCACTTTGTTGCTAATGAAATAGCTAACGAGTATGATGGATAGGGATTTGAAGATGATTTGAAGATGACGTGGAGAATAGTTTATAATTCCTCTGTTTCTGGTGGACGGCATGTGACATCTAGAGTTTTAGGAGTATGCAATGTTTTGATTTATCTGACATATATGTGAGTATGTCTGATAAAATTCTACTTGTGAATAGAAGTAGATTGTGAAACTTGCAGAAAACTTATACTACTTAATGATTTTTAAGATTGGAAATTAAGATTATGTGACATTATCAATTTTAAAAAATTGATACTATTTGAGAATATCCAAACTTTATTAGCCCAAAAAACATCAATGACAGGAGTTTAACCTTAGGAAAATTAACAAACTACTTAGCATTTTAGCATTGTATTGAATATTAGTACTAATTTTTTGATAATCAATAATTTCTTTTTTTGAATGTTTAACAAAAATTAAAATTACAAATGATTTTTTTAAATTGAAGATTTTCTTATTTGTAATTGTAACATTCTTATGTTAATCATCTTCATTATTTTAATACAAAATGGTACTTTTAAGGCAATACATACAATCAAAGGACTTGTAAGAGATTTTCTTTGGTTTAATATAGAGACCAATTCAATAATGGGAATCTTATGGAAAAATACAATTCAAAGGATTTAGCTATATGAATCAATTAAAATTGGCCTAAAAGACTTCTAATAGAAAAATTGATGCAACTCAAATAAATAGAACTCTAAAAGAGATAGAAATCTACTTTAAATCACATAATAATTTTTTCGTATGAATAACCAAATAGGTCAGATTTTACTCCTTTTTTTTTTCAAATTCATAATGACGTAATAAAATTTGTAGAACAAACCAAGATTTGAAACGATTTCTACCTTCATAGAGCTTATTTAATATAATGTAATTTCAATAAACATGTGGATACAAAAAATAAGAAGATATACAAATAATAAAATAATAAAATAAGTATAATTTTTTTATTCTTGAAAGAACAAAACAATTTGTATTGCTTTTAGAAGTGTTTAGTGGCTTAGAAAGGAGTGAAAAACTAGTCTAATATCCCAAGAAGTGACAAATAACTCCAAGTATGTTTTTTTGTATATTTCAACCTACAGAAAGTTTTCTAAAAGTATATCTTTATTTAGAAATATTAAAATATTAAAACCACTAATAGTAGAAACATACTTTTAGGTATCATAGAACAGCACAATGCCAAAATCTTCAAAGAAAAAATTATTTTAGATTCTAAAGTCAAACTATGCATGTAAAATTATATTATAAAGTGTAAGAAAGCATATTAGCTTATAGATTTGAAAATCTTTTGAATAAATCTTCTAAAAATATCTTTTTATTTTGAAAAAATTACAAAAATATAGATTAGAGATATCAAGTAAGGAATAATAGACACATAGCATTATCAAGTGGTATAAGTACTCACTTTCTAGGATCCACATCTCCTACTCTATTCTAAGGCCTTAGCTATATGTAATATTTTGTTTTCTTAAAAAGCTATTAAAGAAAACATATTTATCTACATATTATTTTAGATAATTAATTAATTTTTTAATTTAACCAATCAAATAATCATTCTTACATAATTTGAAGGTGATTGATAGATTATTCATCTATCTATTAGATATTATTAAAAGTATTTGTATCCAAATTTATATCTTATATATTACAACAATTCTAATTAAAACAAAGTCTAGAATGTTGATTGCATCATTTTATTTGTCAAACCTTCTTTATTTAACAAATTGACTAAATATGAACACGAAAAACTCTTTAAGAAATATACATAAGTACCTTCTTATGTCATATACCAATTTATTTTTTATTCCTTTTAAACTTGTAGAATACAAGATTATTATTATTATTATTATTATTATTATTTTCATATAAAGCAAAGTACATTGTAATCTTGAACTGTGTTAAAACAAATTGAAAAGATTTTGGCAACCTTCTTGAAGGAAAATTTGCTAATCTGATAGATCAAGCCATCTAGTTGTTTCCAATCATGATTACATTTTAAAAAATTAAGTTAAAAATTTGTACTAAATCATGTGATTTGAATGCAACATACATATATATATATATATATATATATTAACTAATAATTTTTTTAAAAACAAAACAAATATACTAAATTAAATTGAGGATATTACTAATGCCACCACAATTTTTGCTACTGTCATCATAACTTACCACCTATTCAGACGTTTTATCAATTATTTTACTCTAGTCATATATTTTTCTTTTTTGAACTATATATAAAATAAACTTTAATGAAAAATAATTATAAAGTTAATTAGAACAAGTGGTGGTAACAAGAACCAAAATTGTAGGGACATGTGATGGAATTGTACAAATTGTGATGACAACAATAAACGCTATCATGGCATTAACAACACCCTAAATTTTATATGATTGTTTTATCTAAACATCATATTCATAGCTTGTATTGCAGAAACATCACTGTTGTAAGGGTTGATTCTTTTATTTGTCAAAAAAATTCAAAAATTGAACACTAGGATAAGTCTGTAGTCCGAGAATCTCTTTCAAACACGAGTATAAGTCCGAGAATTTTATCCTCGCATTGATCTTTCTGTTTGTTCAATGTTTTTTTTAAAATAAACAGCTTGATCACTGCCACAGTGTACACAAGTATTAGCAAAAGTGTAACCTTCGAAGTGAGCTTTAAATTTAGTAATAGACAAGATAAATATATTAGAACGATGATCTGCCTCCATAAAGTTTTAGCACTCAACTACACAAAACCGCGTCCAGTTTCAAGTCATTTACCGTGATTCATCATGGTTTAGTTTGGGTTTCGTAAGATTATCTTTTAGAGCACTTGCAAGGTTATGCTCGTCTATTGGCTACCATATAAATGAAGAAGCAAATCTAAGCTAAGCGTCATTAGGGCATACGGTCTTGTCCCAGTCTCTTTCAAACACGAGGATAAGTCTAGTCCAAAAATATCAATGTTGAGTGCATTACATTAATTTTCCTCGAATTGAAACTTCTCGATTGTTTCATACCTGAGGACCACGTAAATGACTATTTAATAACAACGTGTGACCAAAACTTTTTGTTTTCCGGCACCTTGCCAGATGGGTTTCTCGATCATTGCGCATGCACTGTCTTTCAATTCATACAATGAGAGTCTATCCCTTTAAACCCAAAGCACTGCACTGAGATTAGCATACCTTAACTTTGTCTAGTACATCCCCCCCATGCCTCCCATGCCTCCCATTCCTCCCATACCAGGCATTGCCTCGTCGTCCTTGGGGAAATCGGCAACTATTGCTTCAGTTGTTGTAAGAAGCGATGCGACACTGCACACAGGAACCACAATCATTACCCAAGCTTACCGGTCACATCCCCAAGAAATACTACTACACGTTTGCATTTTAATGACCTGGTATTAACCAAATGTTTTGTGCGTAGTCTTTGCAAGTACAAGTAAATAATCTAGGAAGTATAACCGTGAAGACATCTACAGGAAATACATAGCAATAAAAAATAGAACCAAGAGAAGAAGACAGAACCCAAGAGCAGAAAAGTACCTAGCAGCATCAACAAGCGCTGTTCTGATGACCTTTACAGGATCAATTATTCCTGCCTTCACCATGTCGACGTACTCAGCTGCAAAAGTAAATTGGATCATCAGTAACGAACCCCAAGGGCACAAAGGTCACTGGCACAAGTATTCTCTAATGTCAGGCGACATAAAATACGAGTGTAAGATAAAAATATATCAGACAATGAAACTCAAATGATAGAAACTGCTAAATTTCAAAGTTCGATCCGTGCTTGAATGAACGAAAAAATTCGAGACCTTTGGCAGCATCATATCCAATGTTCAAGTTGGCTTCCTCCAAAAGCTTTCCAACCACCACAGCTCCCTCGACTCCAGCATTGCGTGCAATTGTGTACGCAGGCATCTGCAACGGAAGCTCAGTAAATCTCAGACAAGTTTTTACTTCAAGCGCAGGCCTCCTTGATCATGACTCCTCATTCAAAACCATCAACACCACTGTACTTTCTACATTTGATGATTTGGTTGTTCGATTTAAACATTCGCAATACACTGGCTCACGCAAATTACACTACCTTCTCACAGATCGTAATGCATAACTAGACTCAGAGCACTACTACAAACTATTAAGGCGCCCTCAAACAGGAAATCAAAATAATACCTTTAAGGCATTCTGAATAATTTGCACTCCAACCTTCTGGTCGAAGTTTGAAGTTTGAACATTGTCAAGCTCCCGTGAAGCATACAAAAGAGCAACACCACCACCTGATCCATTCAAATTTCATGTTACGCATTAATTACTAAATAGATGGCTCTAAAAAACAACACATTTGCAAGTGTAAACAATTCAACAAGCTAGATCCCAGTTCTGATGCAAAAATAATCAACGGAACCTAAAGCAAGAGAAAACATTCGCTATATACAATGAGCCGGACTAAGTTACGGATCACAAAAAAGAGTTAGTAATCTCGAACATACCAGGAACAATGCCCTCCTCAACAGCGGCTTTGGTGGCATTCAATGCATCAGTAACACGGTCTTTCTTCTCACTAACCTCAACTTCACTAGCTCCTCCAATCTGTAAGCACAAAGAAAGAAATAAAATCACTTACAATTTAAAGTTTAAGGCTTGAAATGCTACAGGCACTATTGTAGTGTGCCAATAAATTTCATTGTCAAACGAGACAACTATTTAAATTAGGATGACTGATATACCTTAAGTACAGCTACACCTCCTGACAATTTGGCCAACCTCTCCTGCAATTTCTCCTTGTCGTAATCGGAAGTGGCAGTGCTGATGGCCTCTCGGATCTGGAAAATACTTTGGGTTTTTAGTCAGTGTTTTACCCTCGATATTAACATACCTTTAAAACTACAGTGACAACTCAGAAAACACATCCAAGCCGCACTTTAGTGATAGGAAGACCATTGTGATAAATACCAAGATCGCAGGAGAAAGTTCAGGTGCACAAGGCCAAAGAAAATCCAGGAGCATCACATTGTTGATGCTGTCGACATCCTCATGTACACTACAGCGCACGTCAACACATCAAAAACTAAATCTTGAACTACCCCCTTGATCTCATAAACATGACAAGAATGACCTACCTGTTCAGTACGATCTTCGAGAATAGCTTTGTTACCTCCGCCATCCAAGATAATGGTGTCATCCTTCGATACGGTGACCTTTTTGCAGTGTCCCAGCATATCTGGTGTGATATTCTCGAGTTTTAATCCCATGTCTTCAGTAATGAGCTGCACATAGCATCCCATACATTCACATACATCAAACGGTAGTAAAGACATAGGACCTCAAATGATCCTCTAGAAAAACATCTACATAACCAGAGTAGGAATATGGCAGAATTCAATTGACCACGACAGGCAGGAAAACGGTGACCTACCTGACCACCAGTTAACACGGCAAGGTCTTGCATTAATGATTTCCTGTTCTCACCAAAACCAGGGGCCTTGATGGCACAAACCTATATTCCAAAGCATCCGAAGGTAGAAAATTACAAATGCTTGTTTCTAGGTAATATTCTTTCCGTCACGATACTTGCAACAACCAGAATAAAGTAGAACTAGAATGACGTTGACTTGTGTACCAACAACTTGAATGGTCATCCTTTGAACTATTACTACGTCGAAGGAGATTTATCCCAGCCCAGCGCAAACCCCAAACTAGGAAAAAAAGGAATACAATGGCTGTTAACATACCTTCACACCACCCCTAAGCTTATTGACTATCAGCGTAGCCAAAGCTTCACTTTCCACATCTTCAGCAACAATCAGGAGAGGCCTTTGATCCTGACAAACCAGAAAAAATAAACTAGCATTATCAGGAGGTTCGTGTATAGCATGTGGTAAATGGATGCCCCCACCTATTACTTGTATGTACAAGAAAAGAGTCTACTAGGTGAGAACAAAATTAAAGAAGGCAAATAAAGTTCAAACAGTGCACCAAAGTCAGTGATTGCTTGCCTTGACAACAAGTTCAAGCACTGGGAGGATCGCTTGAAGACTGTTGATCTTCTTCTCGTGGATCAAGATAACTGGATTTTCGAATTCCTGTATCATTGGTAAACGACCAACACGACGTCAAATATAAGTGTGGGCTCTTCTAAATCCAGAAAGACAAAAAAAATCAAAAGCACGAATAAAAAGAACACTCAATGACGAATGAATAACAAAGAGCATGGATAACACAACTGCAGTGACTACCGTGAAGTAGCAAGCAAAATATAATGATTTTAATACCAACCACTTTTTGAGTCTTAGAATTGGTGATGAAATAGGGAGAGATATATCCTCTGTCGAGCTTCATACCCTCCACAACCTCCAACTCATTAAACAGAGTTTTTCCGTCCTGCAAGGAACGTAACCGTCCATCACGGGAGCACTAGGTTGCATTCACTTATCTATCATATCCTGAGGCGTATAATGCACAAATTGGTATCTTATTTCAAGAATGCGCATAATATTAGCATGAAGATTAGAAAATAAATGTATTAAATAATAATAATAATAAATTACAGTCACGCTGATTCTCACAAGGTTTCGACGAAACACGGATTCTCAATTACACTCTCTTAGCGTCACAAGTCAGATAACGTCAAACGTTATGATGAAATGCACTCGCCAATAAAGAACAAGGAGTTGACGTAATCAACTTCGTCATTCACCTAAAGGTGAACACAAGTGGGTAAACCAATTAGACTAGGATATAACGTACACAATTGCACCATATTAAGCTCAGACATCCACTTACAGAGACAGTGATGACACCCTCCTTGCCAACCTTCTCCATAGCACGAGCTAGCAAGTCACCAATTTCTCGGTCTCCATTCGCAGAGATTGTTCCAACCTGGCAGAACACCACACAAAAGCAAGGAATGATCCGTTGAAGTGACTTCCATTAGTAGCTTCGGCAACACATCCACGAGATTTTCTATATTAGAGTTTAAGCCCAAAAACAAGATGCTAAAATTCTAGTATCACCTTCAGATGGTGATTTGCTTACCTGAGCAATTTCTTCCGATGTGCTAATCATCTTAGCCTGGCTCTTGAGATAGGACACAACGGCATCAACAGCAACACTAATACCTCTACGTAGGTCCATTGCGTTCATGCCAGCTGCAACTGATTTGCAGCCCTCAACAAAAATTGCTCGGGTGAGCACTGTTGCACAAGTTGTTCCTGCAAAATTCATAACTTCGAGTCAGTGAAATCATTGCACTGTAGATACATTTATTGATTTGGCAAGGCCAGTGCTGATGTTAATCTGTATAAGAGTATTCCATAGATTCATACAAAATGAAAAAGTAGGTTGAAATCATGCATCAGAACGAGGTTCACACAGTCAACTGGGATTAGGCATATACCATCTCCAGCAACGTCATTTGTAGAACTAGCGACTGACTTCACGAGTGATGCTCCCACGTTCTGCAGCCTGTCCTTGAACTCTATGGCTTTGGCCACAGTAACACCATCCTTGGTGACTTTCGGAGAGCCAAATGATTGCTCAATAATAACAGTCCGGCCCTGTTAAAAAGAGGAAAATCCAATATCGGTAAGTTCTTTTTCTAAGATCAAGAGCATGCAATGAAAAAATGAGGAAACTGTAGTCGGGCTAATCACTCAGGTAAAAAAATATTTAAAAATGCAGAAACTGATCTGAATCAGAGAGATCAATTCCTCAATAAACGACACGCTGTGTTCAAAACGATGGATGTTACTAACGATTGTAAACTATATTCTGGATCCACTCTGAAACTAGAGTCCAGAGCTTACAGCTAAGATAGTCAAAATGAAAACAGAATTGAAGCGCGATATCAATATCAACTAGTACGTTACCTTGGGGCCCATGGTCACTTGTACCGCATCTGCAAGTTGCTCCACGCCTTGGAGCATAAGGGCACGGGCCTCAACCCCAAACCTGATATCCTTTGCAGAAAAATGTCGAGTTGATTGCAACTTACTGAAATTCTGTAAGACATAATCTCCGCGTGAGCCACATCAGCTGAGGAATTCCCAATTATGAAAAACTTGTCATCCATTGCATTATCATCGGAAAGAATGTAGTACGGCTTTAAAACACAATAGATGCATCAAAGACATTCCTTGGAAGACAACGTTGATTCAGGAGTCCGCTACAGTAGTACTAAGAAATACGTCATCTTCTGTTGAATTTCTGACTAAACAACTAGGAGATAGAAAACATTAAAATTGTGACCTGACTGTTGTAGAAAAACCGTGTGAATTGTTTGTGCAGAGAGAACTTACTTGTACAAGTGAGCGCCCCCTGTAATACAAAACAAGCAAAGCGCGCTACATTAATTACAGAAACTAAATACCTAGACGCAAATTAATGCCATGCATGTTTATAAAACAAATCAAATTAACCCAATAAACCTTAAATAAAATACTCCAATGCAAATCTATTTAGCCATACCCTAAAATGGTGAATTTTCACTTAGTCGAACGAGGTCACATTTCGCGATCTATGCAGTGGGCAACATGCTAATTCGCACAGGAAATGACTTGATAAATTAGAACTGACGCGACGCACAACTACCGCTAGACAAAAAATAAAAGACGCGTAGATAGGCACTGTAAAAGATGCATTGAAGAGAAAGATTATATTATGGAGTACTTAGTGCACATCAATGTCGGAAGAATGTTGGGATAGGTGACACTTAAATCTAATTCACCAGTATGAGGCCCTAACAAACAATTCTCACGAAAATGGTGAATCCTTTGATTCAGAGAGCGATATCCAGCATCAAGGCTTTTTCACAATTGACGAAAACTAACCATGAGACTAGACAGGCATCCACAAGTGATTGGCATGTAGTAATTAAAACACCCAAGGAACAAATCTCAACCTAAAGAGTGTTAGCAGAGATGAAGGCAGATTAACACCTGTTAACTCGGGACGCCAAAGCTGCCGCCGCGCGATACATGATTGCTTAACCGTTCTTAAACCTCAGATCTTAAACCTCAGATCTTAAGCCCTCGATACCACACACTAACCTTAAAATTCCCTCAGCAAGAAAACTCAATGACCAAAAAAAACTCACAGATTGCCAAACGCCGAAGAAGAAGAAGGAAAAACACAAAACAAACAAAACAAAATAAACAAATAAACCAACAAAAAAACTGAAGCAAATGTGGATGGCGCAAGTCTACTGGAACCTTAAGACCTCCACCTTAGGGAGAGAGAACAGTTAATCACCGATACCCAGAGTCTGTTACAAGCAGCCAGATCGATGGAAGGACATCTAGAAGCATCTAGAAGCAGAGCCTTCTCTCATGCTTCAAACAATACACTCCCCTCTATCCCAGGTCTCTCTCCACACCCCACCTGGCTTCACATTTGTCTGCAGAATCCTAAGACCGAACAGTAGAATTCTGAAGAGCCTCACTTGATTCGTTTGCTGAATTTATCATTTATTTGTAATTCAAAAACAATTATTGAAAAAATACATTAGAATGCAAAAATTGGAATTGAAGTTATAACCTGAAACTAAAAAGTGATGCCAATTCAGCGCCCTGGCTGTGTACTTGTAGACTTAGTATCAGCGTTGAGTGTGTTGTGTGCATGTCGTTTAAAGTACCGTGAAAGGTCTGTTCACATACTTAGTTTTCTAACTTGCAGTACCAATTAACGATAGTAAGGAAGTATCAAAGTTTCTAGCTAGCGTTATAATATTCCTGCAAGTTTGTTCTGAGACTCCCCAACATCAGCCAATGACAATGCTTCGACTCTATAAGTCGCTAAAAATCACACAATTCAAGCTGCCAAGAGTGCTGATTTGCAACGATATTCTTTGCATTTTACTTCAACGTTGGGCACCAGTGTCCCACGCAGGGCATTTGACATCTAATTTCGTGACACTTAAACATTAAAGTCGGACCTACATGAACTTGGCATCTGCATGCACCATTCACAAATATAAAAAATGCCCTAGACCGCTCGACTGAATCCTTCGAGAGCGGGTTCACTCTACTTCCCAATCAACACCATGGATTATATAAAAGAGAGACAACCATTCATGAAATGGCAGCATCCATTTCAAAGGTGGAAATCTGGAGCATAACTTCGGACAAGGCAAAGCCTAAGATAAGCATTCTATTAATCACGCCACATCGACTGCGAATCCCAAATCTGCAGAGTTGACAGCGACCCGTGTGCGAGTATATTAGATCTGCATGCATGTAATGTGCAAAAATTGGTTTAAAATTAACAATGAAAGAGAACACGAAAGGTACAGTGTCGAATAGAAAATTCGGCTTCCTGTTATTACAGGCAGAACCCAACCTACAGTATGTCCCTGAACCCTGTAAAATTAGACCCTAAAATGCGACCCTCAAGCCTACAGCATCTTCTACTTCTTTCCACCCTTGCCGCCCTTGATCGGGCCCTTCTTCTTCTTTTGGAAGACAATTTCACCTGTTTCTAGAGTAGGAATTTCCTGGATGGAGTTAATTCCTCCATACCTTTGCCTGAATTTCTCAACCCTATCAGCATCCAAAACAAGAGCCGACTTGTTGCCCTGGTAGAAGGGGTGGTTTCCCGACCACACATCAACCACGTACTCTTTCTGTGTCCCACCAGTCGTCATGACAAGTTCTCCATTGCAATACACCTTAGCCTCCTCAAAGAACTCGGGATGAATGTCTGCCTTCTTGCAGGTCACCCTAGACTCACCCCTATTTAACTGTTACGGAACCACGCCATAAAACTTCAGCCTACGAAATAAACATCATCCCCTCGCTTCCAGGCATTACCTCCTCATGAGACAAGTTGAAAACAAGAAACAAAACTCCGAAAACCAGAAGCCTCGAACAATACTCCAATGCCAAAAAAACTCAATTCATTACCTAGTGTCTAAACATAGTGCTTTAAATCACAAACAAAAAAAAAAAAAAAAAAAAAAAAAAAAAACGTGAAGAGTAAGAAAAGCTAGACAAGCAATAATCAACGTAAAAAGTCGTCAATTGAATCCTTGAGTTATGAATGCACACCAAGACGCCAGGCAAGAATGTTGAAATTCACCATCAAAAGACAATCCAGGGAATTCTTCATCGACAATTCGGTGACCATACCTGGATGGAGGTGGAGCCGGAGAGGAAGGTCGAAGTGCTGGCAGCAGCACAAGAAGCTAGGGAGCTGACGGAGAGCGCCATAGCCGACGAGTAGGGCTCCGAGGAAGACGAGTTCCAGTCGCGAGGAAGAGGGAATCGCCGATAACTGGAGCTGCAAAGAGTGCGACCACCAAAGGACTTGAAAGCCTCGCAGAGACAGACGCTAAGTGGATGAGACGGGAAAAAGGGGCTCATGGTGGGTGGGGCTTGTGGGTAAGGTTCCCTTGCGATGCTGTTCGTTCGCTTCTCCCGTTCTCTGTTCCCCTGAAAGCGCGCTAGCGTTCCAGAACTGGTTCCCATCTTGGTTCTCTTTCTCGTGGCTCAGCATGGTTGTGCCGTGTCCAAGGCCACCACCACAGATTGTGCAAACGGGCACTGCCCGGCATTGAAATTTTGGCCTCGGGCAGTATTCCATTTACGTCTTTGAATTGATGATAGTTACTATTTTATTTAGAGATACAAAAATAAGTATTCTAAATTAAAATTACAAATGATAAAATGTCAAATTTTCATTTACATACTTCAAAAAATTGGGCATCAAGTGCATAAGTATTTTACGTTTTTATAATTTCTTATTAAATTAAAATGTATATGTGAATTGCTTGTATATGATATTTACATTTTGTAAAAGGTTTTGAGAGCGTAAAAATATTAATTTGTGTAAAATAAATTTAAAATAATCACCGAGTGAGTGAGTAATATGTGGTCATTGTTGTCCAATTGTAGCATATATGTTTTAAACGATCCTTTAAGCGGTTTGATGGATGCAATAAGAGTGTTTAACAAGGATGTGGTGGAAATGCATCGATTTCCAAGAATAACTTGTAGAAAAAAACAACACAAAGAAATCATTGATTCAAAGACAATAAGTCGGATACAAAAAAAAAATCGACAAAGTATTGATTTATTTGTTTTTTTAGGGCATGAAAGAATCTCTTCGTCCTTTTTTTTTTGTTGTGTACTTAAATTATTCATTTACAACGTGTATTTTAATGCTAGTAGACTGTTTTAAAACGAAAATTTAAAAAACAAATATACATGTAAATTTTTTGTAAAAAAGGAAAAGCAAAAGGATGTAATGTCCTTGGTATACATGGAAACTTCAAAAATAAGTATTTTTCTGAATTCATCAGTTGCAGTTATTTTAATCCACGCGATTTTGTTTAAATATAACTACTTTGCAATCTCTTGTTGGTCTTTCAAAAGCTTAACCCTCTACTTTGTAAATTCAATATGTTTGTAAAAAGCTCTCAACATTTATTTAAGCTGATTAGTGCAATCAGTTCAATCATAGCATGAACATGCAATTATATTGTAGGAACAACTATTCAAATCATGATGATTTTATTTAATATAATATATTCAACAACTTACACAATGGTGATAGAAAGGTCTTGCACTCAATATAATGATTTTATCATTTTGAGTGCTAAATAAGCTTTTGCGACTAAGTTACATTTAAAATTTTACAGTTATAAAAGCCAAAGACAATGCTTGCCTCTTAGCATACCATTAAATCACCCAACAGATCAGAACCTAGGGAGACAAGAGAACAAGCTTCTAAGAGAATGAAGGGTTCTTAAGGAAGTTCCCAAGAGTTTCGAACGAAGGTTCCCTACACTGAGAACACTCATCCCAGCAGAGAAAGGAGAGTTTTAGGGTTTGGCTATCCCGGTCTCTTCGTTAATGGCCATTGCGTAAGCTTCTGATTTCGCCATGGCGTCAGTAAATTCCCAACGTCCGGAGCACAATTTAGATGAGTGCTCCCTCTATGGGTATGTAATTCTTGTCACGAACTCCGCTGTTGATTACTTGGGTTTTCCCGTCAAATCAATAGACAAGCTGATTGATTTTGCGGTCTGAATCTTTCTTCAGTTGAAACCTTACTTGCTTTATAGGGTTTTTGTGTTTCGCAAATTTCTGTGCTTTCTATTCCTCTGTCGTTACGGAGCTCAGAATATTGAATTCCAGTGCTGCGGAAGACATACCGAGAACCTGGTGCCTTCTCTGTGATTAATGGATCAGACTCAGTATATGCGATCTTAGACATCACCATTTTCTTCCATGCAACATACCTAATAACGCATTGGCGTCTCTCTTTTTTTGCACTCAGGTCATGGATATTTTCTCTCTTGGGGGCAGCCATCGCGATCCCAGTAGGCATTAAAAAGAAATCTCTGGCTCCTCTGGTGTTCTTCGGATCTACGGGTGCCATGTTGGACATTGTGCAAAGCTTTGCTGACTGTGAGAGGGAGCGCATCGAGAAATTACGAGCGGAGGAGCTTCTTGTGAAGAGAGACCCTGCCGAGCTCTCCCACGTTGATGACCTCACGTTCAAGGATGATTAAGCTAAGACAATGCACTTCTTAGAGAAAAGAATAAAACGACAGAAAAGAAATTAATTAGCTTTTCGCGGTAGTTTGTGATTCTACATACCCGTTTTGCAGAAGAAGCTCTTGTAAACGAGAGGAGAATCCGGAGACACTTGGGAAGCACATTTTCCAAGCATTGAAAAACATCAGTTTGTTGCTGATCATTGTATCTAGTTACTTATCTTCTATTTACGCAGCCGAATGGGCTCTTCCTGTTGTGTTGTTTTGTAGCATATTCTCAACAGGTCTGTCCTGGTGCTCAGGACTCAATTGTAAGTAGAACACTAACGACGAGTGTCATCAAGCAGCTATTTTTTCTAGTTTCAATCATGTTTGGATCAGTTTTTCGCAAGGTGAAAAAATTAGAATATTTTGCAGTTACATCAAAGTGGAAGTGGTTAACATACAAAGACTGCTCAAAATTAGCCACATTGTCTGTTCTTCTGGAAATTGCTTAACTATCAGCTTCCTAAAGAAAAAAAAAGAAAGATTTTTTAAAAAACAGAAAAAAAAAATGATTCTACAATGTGGTCTGCACACACGTTTACAGAATACAAGGACATAGAGCAGATAGAAGTTCACAAAATGGAGTATCTTCCTGTGACAAATGAGGTTCTATTTTGTTTGAATGTAAATCTTAGTACTATCTATGCACAAGAGAATTGTTTCTATGTACTGTCTTATGACTAATGTTAATCAAATCAACATGTTGGAACCAACTAATATGTCTATCATATATGTATGTTAATAACGATTTTCAATAGATTTTTGTTTTCATGATGATGTTATTACCTAGGTTCAATGACATTAATTACAACATATATATTTTTTTTACTAAACTTTAGTCTAACGTTTTTTGTCTCATTTATTTGGCAAGTGCTGAGAACATTGTTGCTTACATTTGTACATTTGTACAATATGTACAATTATATTACAAATAATTTCAAAGTACTAATAAACTTATAAAAATAAATAATAGCCTATAAGATAAAAGTATAAAATAGTAATAATAGAATCAAACATGTTAATTTTTTAATTTTGATTTTTATAATAAATTTTTATCACAATACACAGAAGATTATGATAAAATAAAATAAAATAAAAAATTCGTGAGTAATATGATTTCTAAAAGCATTATTATATAAGGTTCATTGTAAGTAAAATAAACCAAATAATTGACTTATTACAAAATTCAACTTCTATGATTCAGATTCAAAAGTCAAAATCTACTAATAATATCAAATGAATACAATCAACAAAAAAAAATCCAAAAATCACTGTTTTAAAATTATTGGTTTAATTTCTTAATAAACTAAATATATACATTATTTATCTTATTAACAATAAATAACTTATAAAAAACTTGTAAATATCTTAGTTCTTTGTTGACATGCATTAAAAACAATGTAAAAATATTAGAAGAAACTCATTTAGTAAGCTAATGATTGTATAATTGTTGCAATAACCTTAAATCACTCATATTTGTAGAAATAGAAATTATAAATTATTATCATTCATAATAAAAATTATTTTATTTTAAAAATTTATTATAAAATATGTACTAAAAAACATTGCTATCTTTAAAAGTTATACACGACTTTTTTGGTTGAGAATGAAGTTTTAATAATAATTAAATCCTTTTCAATAACTTAAATTGATGAATGAACAAACATGAATAAATTAAGTTTATTAAATTAGTTTACTATTATTTTTAAAATAATTTATTTAAAAAACATTTATTATTATAAAAATAGAAATTTATATAGAATATATATGGAAGATGTATCAAATAAAAAAAATGTGATAGATAAAATTATGCAAGCTATTGTATTATATGTATATATATATTTTGTGGAAATTGATAAATATGATATTTTTTTTTACTCATCTCCAATATATATATATATATATATATATATATATATATACATATAAAATAATTTTAAAATTATAAAAATTTACTTTAGTGAATGAAAATTTATATTTGTAGCATGCGTACTATTATATCCTAACTAATTCAAATTATAATAGATCTTAAGTAATATGTATATATATATATATATATAATATTTTTATCAAGCTGTTGATCTATTTTATTTTAGTGGATTAAATTAAGCATAGAAGTGCTCTAGACAAAAATTGGAAATGAGAATAGGAAACAAGGGACACGAAACAAGGAGAATAAAGACAAAAGCCAAAGAGAATGGAGACAAAAGATAAAGAGAACAAAGATAAGGCATAGAAGACAAGGAAAATAGAGACAAAAGACATAGAGAACAATGACATAAAACAAAGAGAATGGAAATGAAAGAAATGAAGAATAAAGATAGAAAACAAAGAAGTTGGGATAGTAGAAGGGAGATGGGAGCTTGGAATAGGAGACAATAGAAATGGCAGGGGAGAAGGATTAGGATGGAGACATAAAAATAAGTGACAAGAACTAAGAATGGGAGATAATTCAAGATGAAGTAAAATTGATTATAAATGGTTTAAATTTGTGATTCTAAATGGTTCTAATATCTTTAGCTCAAACCATAATAAAAATATTAAACTTGTTTAATTGAAGATAATATGATATAAAATATGATATATAATGTATTGAAGAATAAGCACTATAAAGTCACAATACTTAGTATCAGCAATGTTGTACACAAAAAGAGTATGAAATAAGATGTCTCTCACTTCTAACACCCGTTACTTATAGATCGTGGTTGCTGCCCTAATGATCAACTTCTATCCTTTGATGAATACATCCATCCAACATTCTACCAAGACTATCAATTGTTATCTTATCTACTATAAAAATATACCTTTAATATATTCTTTATATTCTTAAGATCCTTGGTCCATTCATCTATTTTATCTCTTGGCCTTCTTACATATAAAGAGCCAATCCTTTAACCAATAGTAACTTATTTAAAGTAATATCATCTATAATGTTATTTATTCTACTTTATTATTTACTTGTATACTTTAACACTCCCACTTTGCTATTAGTCAAAGGCTTTCAATCCTAATACCTTTGTCAACATGTGATGTTTATCTTTTACTAATGTTTTTGTCAATAAATCAACAAGCATATCTTTTGTTGTTCAATACTTCATATCTATTACTCCCATTTCAATCTTCTTTCTTATGAAGTGATCTTGAATGTTAATATGCTTGGTCTTCAAATGATGCTTTGGATTCTTTGTAAATGCAAGACATCCTTGATTGTTACATTCTATTAGAGTTGCTTTCATTTATAATACTCTAATGTCATCTAGAAGTTGTCTTAACTATATTGCCTCCATTGCAACATGGCTTGCTACTATGTACTCCGCCTCTATTGTTGATCTTACAATTATTAGTTTTATCTTATAATTCCATGAGAGAGCTCTCACTCCAACAAAGAATACATATTATGTTGTTGATCTTCTATCATTTGCATCTCAAATCCAATCCGCATCACAATAACCATACAAACTAAGGTTATCACCTCTAAAGCATAATTTTAGATGCAAAGTGTCTTTTAAGTACCTCGTGATTCTTTTGATGGTTACTCAATGGATTGATCAAGCCTTTGACATGTATTAGCTCACAATACCCACTACATATGCAAGATCCACTTTTGTGCCAACTATTGCATATATAAATAAATCCATTACTACCTTATATGGAACACCTTGTATTTGACCTTCAACTTCAAGAAATTCTTCATCTGTAAGCTTCATCAACTTCAAATTGGCCTCCAAAGGTGTTCTAATAGGCTTACATTCTTTTATATTAAATCATTTCAACACTTCTTTAATATACTTGCTTTAGTTTATTATAATAGTCTTTTTAATACAACCTCTCACAAACTCCACTCCTAAAAAATAGTGAAGCTATCTTAAATCACTCATTTTATATCCTTTTTTAACTTTACCTTCAATCAATCCATCATCTTCATAGTATCAATTAAGATGATTAAATCATGATTATACAAAATGACAATCAATATGAACTTATTTGATTGCATCACATACAAGGAATGATCGGATTCACTCCTTAAAAACCTTTTATTCACAAAAAATGTATCAATATGTTGGTACCATATCCTTGGAGTTTGCTTGAGCCCATACAAAGTTTTTTTTAACTTACAAATAAGATGTTGTTTCTTTTCTTCTATAAATCCTTGAAGTTACTCTATGTAGATGTCTTCTTTTAGATTTCTATTTAAGAAAGCCATCTTCACATCTATTTGATGCATCTCAAAGTGTATTGCTGCCTCAATTGCAACAATGGTTCTAATGGTAGTGAATTTGGCCATGGAAGCAAATGTTTCATTGAAATCAATATCATCAATTTGTGAGTAGCGTTTAGTAATCAATATAGATTTGTATCTCACAACATTACCCATTGTATCCTTTTTGATTCTAAACACCTACTTACAATTAATTAAAGATTGATTTGGTGGAAGTTGAGTCAATTTCTATGTTTTGTTGTCCATGAATAATTTGTATTCTTTTTTATGGCATTCTTCCACTTCATAGCATTCGTGGATTTTATTGCATCATACAAACTCAATAGATCAACAATGAATGCAATATTAGTATGTTCTTTATTTATTTGAGGAAAAATGTAATTCTTTTACCATGCACTAAGTTATTTTTTTTATCTTTTAAAGGATATCTCCTTTCACTTGATGAAGCTTCACCTTCTTTTATTCCTAGGTTTCTTGTAAGCTTCTTCTCTCTTAAACCTTGCTTCTTTATATTCAAAAGTTGGTGCTCTCCATCATCATCATTATTTTCATCATCTTCATAGTTTTTATTGCTGGTTTCAGCAATTGTAGGCACACTATGGTCTATCTTCTTTGGCTCTTCATCTTGATTTGAATTTCGACTATCATGAATGTCATCATCTTCTTCTTCTTCCTTTGCTGAAATTGAAGATGTATCCACAAATATACCATTATTCCTATTTGAATATATCTCTAAGTACTTGTAAGCATTTTTATGCTCAAAAAATTCTACATCACAATTCTTAATGATTTTCTTGGTTTCTAAACACATTAGCCTATATGCCTTAGTACCTTCACAATATCCAACAAACACACATTTTGTATCTTTTGCACCAAGTTTGAACCTCATACAATCTGATATTTTTATATAGGCAATGTATTTAAAAATCTTCATATATGAAAAATAAATTAACTTGCCATTCCAAGCTTCTTGTGGAGTCATTGATGTGAGTGTATTTGTTGGATACTTATTTCTTATATACACCACATTTACCAATGTTTTCGCCTAATATTCATGCCTAAGATTTTGTGCATGAAGCATACTCCTTGTCATCTCTACAAT